ATCCATGGCCAGAATCCGAGGAGCAATTAGACCCCCAAACATCAGGGCACACACAGGCAGGCACTGACAGAAAAGTCTTAAAGCAATTTAAAATTATTTACATAAACTAAGATATATTCTCTTTATGTAAATATAAAGCTTCTTGCAATCAAATTACATTTAATTTGGGTTTATTAGGTGTTTTATTATATATTGTATATTTTATTATATAATATTCCTAAATACGATATATAATAATTTCGGTAACATTCTCCAGTCTTGAAATCTCTTCATGGACTAAATTATGAAATGATGTGCAAAGCTCCCAGTTTTGGTTAGTGCATCGAATTCCTGGCAAAGGATATTCGGGCCTTTGGTGTTTGGGGGATGTGTAGTTATGTTATGTGTGGCGCGGCGGCTATGTGTATGGCATGACTGTCATTTGCTTTATGCACACGCCGAGGAAATATTCATGATTGCAGTTAACAAGGACAATTATGATTGATTTATGTGCGCCGCCGTGTCGGCCAGGGCCATTAGTGTGGGGGCCGGGTTTATGGCAGGTGTGATAAAAGTTATTATCCTTGGCGAACGCATAACATAACGCACACTTTCTTGGCTCAAAGTTTGAGTGGCTCGTTAAAAGTGTAAACCATCCGGGCCACTAAGATATGCCGCCGAGCGGCTAAATTAACATTGTAAGTGTCTTGTATTCCAACGAAAACATAACATTTAATTAGATTACCCATATGAGCGGAGATACGCAGGCCAACTCATTTACATTTTGTATTTCGCGTTAAGTTTATCAACCTTTATGGCCCGAAGTTTTGTTATTGCTTATGCAAATGAGTTGCTTTTACAACTTGAAATCCCTGGAGAGGAGGAGAGAAGAAGAGGAGGTCCTTTAAATAAATTTAAATTTAAATATATCGAGAAAGAGTTTGAGAGCAATGACCGGGCATTGGGCACAAATAAATAAATATTCATGTTATTCCTCTCAATTGAAGGCTCTGAATAATTTAAACGCAAATCGTTTTCAATTATTTTTGTGAAAACTTGAACCGGTAGTATAGCTATGTACATGTTATGGTTGTGGCACTGCGGCATAATTAAATGCTCCTGGCAGGGGAGTAATAAAATTTCCGATTGCCATCAGGACAGGTGCAACAAAAAGAACAAAGTGCATATTTTCAAAAAGTAAATTGCCAAAAATTGCCAAAATGTTTGCATAGTGCTTTACACACATAATGCAATTTTAATTGCACACAATGTGGGGCTTAGTTTGGCTTAAAATTGTATTGATACAGGGTATTGAATGGCATTTATATACACAAGTTGTATATTATATATATAGACTCGAGCAGGACTCATAATTTGCGGCTAGCGAATCCTTTTGGGTCTGCTACGGCCATGTCCTTTGCCGCAATCGATGTCGTTTATCTTCTGATTTGTTGCCAAACGAAGCAAAACAAATCACTTGCTTGAACGGAGCGAGAGCGAAGGCGATCCAACAACTAAATTTCAGGAGCTACTGCAGCTATTCGCCTCCTCTGGGATTTTTCCGCACTTTCCCCCACATTTTCCAGCTCCAGCTGCTGTTGCGAATGAATTGTGGCCATTTTTCAGGCATCTTTGACGTTTCACGGGCGAAGGACAATGAGGAAAAAGCTGGGAATTTGTGACGCCGACGCCTTCGTCTCCGCCTTCGCCTCGTGTTAACAATGGAACAATGCCTCGTCCCCCCCCCCAGTTGACAAAAGGTACAAATGTCGCCGAAATTTATTAGCCTGCATTAACCGACACAAGGACTCGCCGGGATATACACCATACACCATACACCATATATTAATATACGAGAGCGGAGCGTGTGCGCTGTAACAATTGTTTTGTCTTTCTGGCTCCTGACTAAAGTGCACATTTGTTGTCTTCTTTATTTTGGCCCCGAAGTTAATCAGGATTTGTGCGAGGACTCATCCCGGGCACGCACTAAATTAATTTGCGACCCCGACTTCCTTGACGTTTTATTGGGATTTGCATAAACATAATTTCCGCAGGCCTGTCACTAAATCCAGAAGCCAAGAACAGCAAACTACATACTGAGGCTAGGGAAAAACTCTATTATTTCAGTACATTAACTTGGGATTTATTGTTTATGGCAGCCTGCGGTGGGGGTAGTTGAGGGGAAATCCCCGATCGATGGCCCAGAGTCAAAGTTGACGATGAAATATTGACTGAAAAGTTGGCCAAAACTTGGGGGCACGTGAGACATTTTGAGGTGAGTCCTTGTCCTTGGTAGCAAAATTTCCTCCTCTGAGCATTTTATTCACTCAACTTTGTCCTAATTGAAAGAGGCCATGTCTTGGGTGTGTCTCTGTGTGTGTAAATATATCCTCTGCATCGTGGGGCTGCTGGCATAATATGCATTTTAAATTACGTATGCACACGCGGCGTATGCGCAATATGACGAACAGCAGCCGCCGCAAATTTCCTTGCCACACAAAAACACACATAGTCACTGCCACACACACCCTTGTCTGCGACACAGTCTGCGCTCCTTACTTTATAGAGAGAAATTTCCACTTGGCCTTTTGTTTCTAGCCAAGTTTATGTTATACAATTTTCGTTTCCATTTCCTCTTTTCGCTGTTGCTCCATTTTTACCGCCCCAAAGCTCGTAAATCTTTGAAGATGCGCTGGGAAACAAAAAAATGGAAAATTGCCCATTTCAGCTAGCTTTCTCTCTGTGTGTGTGTTGTGTTGTGTCTGGGTCATAAAACGGCATCAGATCAATATAACATTTATTTATATTTTCGCCTGAGTGGCCATAAAAGTGTTGGCCATTCAAATGATCGCCGAGTGGCGGGCTCTAATTAATATGTGGGTGCGCCCAGGATTCAGAGGGGATATAGTGGAAAGTGGAAAATAGAAAATACTTCAAAGGCAACTCTCTCTCCTGGGATTTATGGCCTGACGGCGGACGGAAGTGTCACTTGAGGGACAACTCCAACAAAGTGCTGCAAACTCGACTAACTCCAAGGAGACTTTGCTGCCTCGGCGAGCCTCTGTATTTATGTAGCGATAAAATTAAATTTATTTTAACGCCCGGCCACCGACTTGTGCGCACATAGTCAAACACTATCGCCAACTTGGCGGCAAGTTCTGTTTGAAAACTATTTCAGCCCGGCCGGGAAATCGCAGGAAGGACGGGAAAGCACAAAAGTTTCTGCGCCATTTTCCACTTTTCTTGTGTGAATGTGAATGTGCCGGTGGTGTAGGGCTTCGCCAATTTTTGGGCATACGCACAAGTCGCAGTCGGAGTCGGAGCCGGGAATGGTGTCCGGTGGTTGGAAAAGTCGGAGCGAGCTATTCAGCCCATAAACCAGGCGGCAAATGCAATGATATTGGCCGTGTTTAATCTGCTGGCCGGAGTTAATATGCCTGCCGCAATGCAGTGCCAGACAGGGAGGCCATCGGGGGGGGGCTTGGGTCTACCCATTTTCCGCTTTTCTCGGAAAGTTACCCGCATTTTCTTGCCAGTCGGCAGAAATTCTCGTTTAGCCACACCGAAAATTGATGCAAATGTCGGGGAGAGATCTGATTTCAGATGGGATTCCAGTTGGTCAAGGTACAAAATTGAAGAATTTCAATTTAAATATTTTGCCAACGCATGTAAAGAGCTACAACTTGTAAAAAGTAATGAATAGTATAAAAAGTAATATATATAAATCTAGACCACAAATTTAATTACATTTTATTGTTATTTGAAAATCCATTAAGCTGAATGTGCATTTTTTGTTAGGATATTTAGTAAAAAGCAGAGTCGCTACAGTAAACCAACGGATGAGGGAAATATCATTAAATTTAAGATATTGAACTTGTGATTTTAAGCACACAAAAATATAGGCAATCTATAGATTAAGCCCTGTATTTTACCATTAACTTAATATGTACTGTTTTTATAAAAACATATAATTCATTGTGTTAGGGAACCATTAAACATTCTTTTCAATAACTTGCATAGTAAGAGAATTATTTTGTTTGTCAAATATATATCAAAAAAAGAAATTATGCTTACTTTGTAAATCCAAAGTTTGTATACCCATGCAGTAGGCACACACACGAATTTTCAATTTTTCATTAATATTTACCTATAATTTTATTTGATATTTTTTTAACCAATTGAAGTTTAAAAAACTCATAACTTGACCAAAAATTAATTATTTTCAATTCGGAAAGCGTTGCGATGCTAGTTTTTATCAGGTTAACAGATCTGCATACTCAGTTTAAAATGTAAAATTTTTGCCGATTTTTCAAAATTTCAACGACATAACCCCTTATAAAAATTTAAAATTTCGAAAAGAATTTAAAAATGTATTTTTTTTACCGGACATGGCTATATCGATTTGGGAGTTGATGCTGATCATGAATATATATGATTTATGGGGTCGGAAAGGACTCCTTCATTGCTTTACAAGCTTCTGATTAAAATTATAACACCCTGCAAGTGTATAATTATATATTGTATAGCTATTTTTACTCTTTAGGGTTTATCTGACAACCCCATTCGTAAAACAAACATGTCATAGATAGGCTAATGCTTAAGTTTTCGACTTTTAAATAAAGTTGCGTCCTAAGCTGAAACTGAAAAATCTTTATTTAACTGGAAAACTATTTAAAAAGAGGTCGTATCACAAATCGCTCTCAGGCACGTGTGTAATCTGTGATCCAATCGAACAGGTAGCTTTTCCTAGGAGCGAGAAATTTGATTAGCTATCGCCAGAACCCCCGGATATGATTTATGCCCGCGAAAGTAGTGTTAATTAAATGGGGGAGTGAGCATATTGATTTTCCCTGTCCCGATTGATGCCTGCTACTGTCGATGACTTTATGGCCATGGAAGAGCAATTGCCTCCGTGATGGTTATGGATATGCAGGGGCTGATAAGCTGATAAAATTTTAATCCCATGGCTTCGCCTTATAAATAGAGGTGAGTGGGTCGGCCGCCTCGTAAACGGATCGCAAATGTCGGCGAAAAAGAGCCAGTCGCCGGCACAGGATTCGCTTGCCAGTCCCTCACCGCCGGTGGTCACATTCCTCCGGCTGGGCCAAAAGAATCACTCGCAGTGGAATGCCCTGGGCTCTGCCTCTTTTGTCCTCATTTCGGGCGGCATGAGTCTGGCCTGGGGCGCAGGATTTGCGGTGCATTCCGCCCATCGGGATCAACTCCTGCTCACGGTGCATATGCAGGTGGCCTGGTATGCCACCGCCACCCTGGGAGCCATTTTCGGGGCCTTTTACACCCACCGACTGCCCCAGCAGCCGATATATGTGAGTAGGGATAAGGATATCAAAGAACATAATATATAATGCATACGTATTAGATCCTTGGCTCCTGTCTGGTGATAGCCTCTGGCATACTGTTCCTGGCCTGGCCAGAGAGCTCTTGCGCGGTGATCGCTGCCCGGTATCTGGATGGACTGGCCAATGGGCTCGTCTTTGTGCCCGCCCTGAGCACCGTGGGTGAGATTGCGGTGAATGGCATCCGGGGACTCCTGGCCTCCACGGTGGAGCAACTGGCCACCAACACGGGCATCCTGATGCAGTTGATCTACACGGCAGTGTGGCGAACGGAGTGGAACGTGGCCATTGTGGCCGATCAGGTGCACGGAGTGCTCTCCATTATCTACGGCGTGATAGCCCTCGCCTTGGCCCTGACCCTGTGTGTGGAGTCGCCGGTGCACCTGTTGATGCGATCCAATGAGCAGCGAGCGGTGGTCTCGCTGAGGCACCTGCAGCGGCCCTACATGGTGACCAGCGAGACCCTGCTGCGGCTGGACGAGCACAAGTTGTATGTGGCCGCCAGTCGTGAGATGTGCTGGTGGCTGAGTCTGCAGAAGGGACTGCCACCTTTGCTCAAGATCCTGGCCCACAGGCTGCTGGGCTCCCTGTGCCTGAACCTGGTCATCTGGAGTGCTCTCTTTGAGACGGCCAGCCAGCTGGTGAGCAGCTTCCAGGCCTGGCCCTATGTGGTCTTCGGGGTGCTGCGGTGGTGCGGATGCTTCTGCGTGGTGCTCCTGATGGACACCACCGGGCGCAAGAAGCCCACTCTCTTTGGCACCTTCTCCACCGGCTCCTTTGCCTTTGCGTTTGCCAATCTTTTTGGACGCACTCCGCACATGATTGCCGCTCTGGTGGTGCTCCTGAGCCTGCAGTTCTTTGCGGGATTGGGTCAGTGTGCCTCGGCGGTGTACCTCACGGAGGGATTTCCCTTGGCCGTAAAGCCACACCTGGTGGCTGTGGTCTATGTGATGGAACTGATTACGCGACTGCTGCTCTGCAGTTTTGCTCCCTCTCTTGATTGGATCGCAGCCTACTTCCAGGTGCTCGGTGGCCTGTCCATGGTGTTCTTTCTCCTGGGAATCTTCTGCCTGCCGGAGACGAGGCTCGTCACTCTGGCGGAGGCACAGCAGAAGTTTACCAAGTGGTTCAACAAGGACTTCTAAGCGTTCAATAAATAAATATGACAGCAAACTAATCAGACTAAACGTGGTTATTTGTTTAAGAGGGAATCCCCCTTTTACAATTGAAAACTATAAAAAGGTTTTCCTTGAGCCACTTGTATTTCTCTATCTAAAATGGCGCGATAATGGCCATAAAGTGAGCTTCTATAGAGTATAAATATTGAAAAAACCTTCCAAAACTCAGTTTAAATTTGAACAAAGCTCAGACAGGTGGTTTTCATCCGCAAAAAAATGATTCAAGTTAACAAGAAGGCCAAGACCACTTGGGATGACAGGGCCAAAGGCATCAAGGGAAACAAATTGCAGTCGAGTGCGTGGGAATCAGGTGAGATTATCTTATCGGTCACCATCGAACTGGGCTAAAATTCCTGGAATATTTTATTGAGCTATTTTCTCTAATGATAAAAATCAATATAATGGCTTTTAGCCATTGGTGTTTTCTGGTTTCTTGTTGGAATAATCGGAGCGGTCTGCAACTTTATAATAAAAAACAAGAAAAACATATTGGTAAGGTAATAAGTTTTACCGAATCTGAACTTATTATATTCATTTAAAATATCATGACAGGACTTTTGTTATAACTTGATGATGGTTTCCTCCACGCTTTACGCTTACTTTAATCCTTCGAAGAAAGGGTCGAAGGTAAAAAATCGAAAGGTCAGGTCGAAAAAATGAATATTATTCATGAAAAATACATTATATGTATATTTGATAAAGTTCAGTGTATGTACAAAAAAACACTTAAACTAAATCAATAAATATGACTAATAATAAAGATCAAAAAGATTGTTGCTATTAGAACTGTTTTAAAGTGATTGATGATTGTTTTATAGTCACATCCATTGCCTTATATGGTGAGTGAAACATTTTATTTAAAGGCAATATGCTAATAAAACCACTTCCGGAAATAATAATAATAACGATAAATATTTTGTGATTCAGATTTTGGAATAAACTCCAAACAAGCTCATGGTACTGAAACAATTCAGGTAAAGTCCGTATCTTAAGAAAGATTGGCAATATCTTTTTGCTAGAAAACACAATTTGTTTGCTGAGCAGTTGTAATCTGAAATTGGAGCAATAAAGAGCTATAAACCAAGTTATTTAAGTGGGATACTTTTCTGGAATTACGTGTTAATATGTATGATTCATCATCTGTCATGGATGGACTTTGACGCATGTGTCCACTCATGTGGGGGAAAGTACCCACATCTCAGGCAGGCTGGCAGGCACACTTCTCGGCCAAATCAGAAACACCGTGATCCGAATTGGGCCGTATATATAGTTTCATATATCAATACGGCTTAGCATTATTCACGAGCATTGCGATAAGAGTCCTTATCATCTCGTACTCGTTACTATGTAGCCTGACGACTCTAATCAATGCCTGGCACCTGCGATAAGCTCTGTGCCCCGCACTCCAGTATCAGTTGGGCCAGGCCCGATCTCGGCGATAATATAAAAATCATTTGGCCTGCGGATCCAGTGGCCAGTTTCAAATCGACCTCTTGCGAAGACGGTTCGCTTCGGTAAAAGAGCTAAACGAATAGAATGCAGAACGACAAGTTTGGTGCCCCGCAGGAGCTGGTTTTCGTACCACCATCACAGCAGCCACCAGGATACCCACAGCCAGGATACCCACAGCCAGGATACCCACAACCAGGATACCCACAACCACCACAGCAGGGCTATCCGGCACCGAGCTATGGACAGCCACAAATGACTCCTGCTCACACATACGGAGGTCCTCCACCGCCGCCGCCGCAGCCTCCGCGGGATCCTCCCACCCGAGTAGAGGGTCCTCGCGAAGGATGCTGCTCTTTCAACCAAAGGAATAAGCCTCAGGGGAATGCCTTAGGCACAGGTTAGTTGACATTTGGCTTTTAGACAAAAGCCAGCCCCATCCGTCAAAAGCCATGACGATTATCTTATCTGGTGTGCCTGAAAACGCGTTGCTATTCTTGGAATATCGAGCGATTAGGAACAGTGACGTAAGCCAATAGCTTATACTCCAAGTAAATAAATTCAACATATACACAATTGAATTTATAAAACAAATAATACAAATATGTTTTAGTTACTTGTAAACAAGTGATTAAAAATGCAAATGTATTATACATGGATAACGAGTCCGAGTTCCTGGTTGCTTCCAAAGTGTCCATTGCTTCATCCTTCCATTTTGCCTTCGCAGCTGGTCTGATCTTCGCCTCTGGAGGCATGAACATAGCGTGGGCCATTGGCTTCCGAGGACCCATTGCCTATCACACGACTAAGCATAACTTTATAGCTTGGTTCATTGGCGCCATCATTGGGGCGGTGCTCACCTGCGGACTGACCAACAAGGTGCCCAAGAAGATAGTCCTGGTAAGCGATGGAGATGTGCTCAATGTGCGAGAACTCCGATTAAACTCTCTACTCGCCTCCTCCGATAGCAATTCTCCTCGGTTCTGGTCATAATCGGTGGCCTGGTGATCGCTTGCACCCACCAGAACGGGAGTGGAACCATAGCTGCCTGCTACCTGGACGGGATTGCCAACGGCCTGGTGTTTGCTCCATTCATGGCCTTGGCCGCTGAGCTCTCGGTGGCCTATAAGCGGGGTATTTTTGCCACCAGCATGGAGCAGGTTAGCTTCGGCGTCGGCATCCTGCTGCAGATCATATACACCAGTTCCTGGAGTTACAACACTTACACCGCGTACAACGACTTCACGGCCGACAACATGAAGGGAGTATTGAGCACCATTTTCGGATTCCTGGCCCTGATTATGGGCACCTTCATGACCATCGAGTCGCCGGTGCTGATGCTGGCCAATAATGACGAGGCTGGGGCAGTCGATGCCCTGCGCCGCCTGCAGAAGCCAGCCGTGATGACGGACGAGACCTACGAGCAGCTGGCGGAGCACAAGCGCTACTTGGCGGAAAACAAGAGCATGACCCTGGGCCAGAGCATTAGCCAGGCGTTGCCCACGTTCCTGCGACTGGCCTACCTGCGAGCCCTCAACGCGATGAGCCTTTCCTCCTTCGTGATCTTCACGCTGGCCCTCTCCATCTTCCTTAGCTACGGACTATCCAGCTCGCAAGGATGGTACATTGGTTTTGCCTTCTGCCGCTGGCTGGGCACCTTGTTCACCAGCTTCTGTAGCGACTCACTGGGCAGGAAGAAGCCCACGTTGGTGGGCCTCCTCGTAGCCGCCTGCCTGTCCTTCGCCGTTGGCGGCAGATACGGATTCGGGAACTACATGGATGGCGTGACCATCCTGCTCCTGTTCTTCGCCTTCTTCGCGGGCATCGCCTTCACGCCCAGCTCCGCCTACGTTTCGGAGGCCTATCCTCTGGGCGTGAAGCAGCACTTCATCTCCCTCACCTTCATCGTGGAGATGTTCGTCTTCCTGATCATACAGGTGTGCGATTTCAACCTGCGCCAGGGATACAACTATTTCTACATCATGGGCGGCATGTATGTGGGCGGATTCGTTATCGCCTTGGTTTCCTTGCCGGAAACCAGACTGCTGACCATGCGTGGTGCCCAGGAGCAGTTCAGCCGATTGCTTAATGTGCGCTTCTAGTCCAGGAAAGACCTGGAAAAAAGCTTTGATTGTCAACAATCGGTTAATATAAAAGTATTTCTTACTTATAGATAAATGCCATGGAATTAAAAATTCCAAAAGCTTTAAACGTTTTTAATTAAAATGCAATTGGTTTAATTCTTAAAGAACTCGGATTCTTAGACATATTTCACCATGGAATTTTATTACTTTTAGTGACCAATAAATGGTCGATTGGGAAAATCCAATCGGGGAAGAACCTTCGCTGTTATAAAGGATCCTTATCTAGCACTTTGTTAATTAATAAAAAATGTAATACACAATGTTCAAATTGATGATGTACTTTATTTAGAATAAATGTTATCAAATATAAGAGCAAACAATTTTCCTTTTAAATGAGCCAAAACTATTTAACACATTAATCATCATTTTCGAAACTTTATAATGGCCATAAATAATGCGAATGACTCAAGGCTACCGTTTGCTAAAAATCATTTAAACATCGTTGTGAAGGGTCTTTGAAAGGGGTATGTATATAATTTACTTTACATTTAACAGAATGTATAAGTTTTATTGCACATTTCAAGTGTATTTGAAGATTAGATAAAAGGAAACCCCCCTATAAATTTAAAAATGCACGTGTCTACATCTAAAAGTAGAGATATCAACTAGTTTAGTTTTGAACCTATTACGATTCTCTGCAGCCTTTGTTTTCAAATTTTAATTCTGGCAACTGTGTTCTATATATCTATATATATCAAACGATCAGATATTTTCCCACAACTCTTTTCCGTGGGTGGTCTCCTTGAGTGGGAATAGCGTTGTTTATAATTTTAACCAACACATTTCGATAAGGGTCCTCGTGCTTATCACTGGCCATTAGCCGCTTATCAATGTCGTGCCGATAAGCCTTGGCCCCCGCTCAATTATCATTTCAGTCGCATTTCCAAATGGCTATAATCATTGGCCTAGACAATCTTTCAACCAGTTGCACATTGGTCATAAGCAAGGCTGGTTGCCCTCTAAAAGAACAGCAAAGAAAAACCGATTGAAATGGGAAACGACAGGTTCGCTGTACCGGAGCCACCGCCATTGGGCTTTGCAAGTGCACCACCACAGCCGGGATTTCCCCAACCAGGTTATCCACAGCCAGGACATTCCTGGGACTCACCACATAGCCAGCAGCCAGGATACTCGGGCTATCCTCCAGCACCGCAGCAGGGATATCCCCCGCAGATGGGATATCCACCTCATCAGGGATATCCGCCACAGCAGGGATATAATCCTCAACAAGGATATCCGCCTCAGTATTATGGATCACCAACTGGATATGGAGGACCACCGCCACCACCACCACCGCAACCCACACAGCAGACCGTGAACGTGGTAGTGAATGGTGGCTGGTATAGTCGCAATCAAAAGAATAAGCCACAATCGAATGCTGTGGGCGGAGGTGAGTCAGAGTACAAAGTACAAAACTAAAGCAATATCAATTTCATAATCTTTGAAATGTAAAATCTTTATGTGAAATCTATCTTTGGCTATCTCTCTGTACTCCCCCTTAATAATCTTTGACAATTGTAAACGCAATCCTTAGCTGCTCTCATCTTTATATCTGGAGGCATGAACATTGCGTGGAGCATTGGCTTTCATGGCACTCTATTTTATGCCACCGACAAGCATACCTTCTTAGCCTGGTTCCTTGGCGGCATAATTGGATCCGTTGTCAGCTGTTTTCTCACAAACAAAGTGGCCAAGAAGAAAGTTTTGGTGAGTAGCATCTCGCATCGTGTTATAATTAAAGTTAATTTGCAAACATTCCCTATAGATCTTCAGCTCTGCCCTGGTGATGATTGGTGGCATTGTGGTTGCCTCTACCAGGAATAATGGGGCGGCCAACATGGCAGGATCCTACCTAGATGGGATAGCCAATGGCCTGGTGTTTGCTCCTTTTATGGCCCTGGCTGGAGAGGTTGCAGTGCCCTATATGCGTGGCCTCATCTCGGCAAGCATTGAGCAGATGTGCTATGGCCTGGGCATCTTTGTACAGATCGTATATATCTCCGCTTGGACCTATGAAACCTATCCCTCGAAGAACTCCTTTTCACCGGAGAATATGAGGGGAGTGCTGAGTGCTGTATACGGACTTCTGGCTTTGATAATTGGCTCCCTTCTGTGCATCGAGTCTCCGGTGATAATTCTAGCCACCAAGAACGATGAGCCGGGAGCCATCGATGCGTTGAGACGCCTTCAGAGGCCCTACACCGTGACCAACGAGACCTTCGAGCAGCTGGCAGAGCACAAGCGGTACCTGGCCCACAACAAGGACCTCTCTTTGGGCCAGAGCATTTGCCAGGCCATCCCCACCTTCATTCGGCTGATGTTCCTCCGGGGCCTGAATGTTCTGAGCATCAACCAGTTCCTATACTTGACCCTTCTCTACTCATTTGTGAACTGGTATGGCCTGAGCGGCTCCTGGGCCTGGCTCTGTGGATTCGGATTCTGTCGGTGGATGGGCAACTTTATAGCCACATTCAGCATGGAGTCGGCGGGTCGCAAGAAGCCCACTGTCCTGGGACTCTTGGTCTGCGGTGTCCTGGCCTTCGTGATTGCCGCTCAGTACAATATCATGAACTACAACACCGGGAATGCCATCATGGTTCTGGTCTTCGAGTTCTTCGCGGGAGTCGCCTTCACGGCCACGTCTCCTTACCTCGCCGAGGCGTATCCTTTGGGAGTTAAGCAGCATTTCATAGCGTTTACCTTTATTGCCGAGATGCTGATCTTCATTGTGATTGAAATGATCGATTGGGATTACACAGTCGGAGCTGAATACTTCTACGCCGTGGGAATACTTTATTTAATAGGCTTTATCTTCGTGATCCTCTGCCTGCCGGAGACCAGAAGGACCAATTTGCGTGAGGCCCAGGGCAAGTTCAGCAGGTTTATCAGCACGGCTTTCTAGACGCTGTCTTTCTGTGATGTTTTCTAGCGGCATTAGTCAGAGATTGAATATTGGAGATAATAAAAGTATTTATACCTCGACACAAGCACTCTCCGATTTGTATTTCCCAGTTGTATATCAACTATTGATAACATTTATGAACTGTCAACAAAACAATCGTCATAAGAGTGCTTTGCAGTGGAAAGTGAAAACATTGAAAACAATAAAGTCAAACGAAGAGAGAGTTTCTCAACCTAATAGAGAGACACAGAGGGAGAGGAAGAACCCTGTCGGAGTAGAACTACCACCTACCTGCACCAAATCGCGGCTATAACACATGCTCGACCTTTCGTGATAGGAAAATCCAGCATATAGCACACACCTAAGCGCTTATTTATCAATCAATATGCGATAAGATAAGCGGGCAGCCAATAGATATAGATAGAGCTGCGATCGGACCTGTTCAAGAACCCAAAAACCACCGAAACCACCGATTTGTAGTCTTGTTCGACAGCTCGACCACAGTGGGTGCCCGATGCCCGACCCCGATCCCAGACCTTCGCCCAACGATGGTTTCCAGGCCATTCCCATTCACAGTGCCGGTGGCCAGCAGCGGGAGCTGATCCTGCAGAGCAGCCAGAGGAGTCCTTGCTGCAATCGCGATCTGCGCAATCAGCCCCAGGCAAATGCAGTTGGAGCAGGTAAGATCAGGGGAAAATTACTGAAGTACTTAATATCAATCAAGGAAAATGAATATGGATTATTGTACAAGTGATCACCAAAGCATTGGGAATTCGTTTGACTAAAAGCCGGAAGTACATGTTGTTTTCTTGTTTTAAAGAAACTCCCATTCGGAAATGATTCACTATTTGTTGTGCCTCAGTAATGTTTATGGTGTAAAGTTTGATAAAGTTTGATATGGCCTAACACCTGCCAAAAACTGTCATTGTGACATTTGCTTATCATTATTTTTTAGCAATGGAAAATCTTTTGCAATAAATGATTAAAAGTCCTTGGAAGAAACCTAAAAATAAAACCAAGGATTCCTTGACCTTCCAATACTTTAAGCATTGTATTAAAAACGTTCTACAAGTTGTCACTAGAAATCTTATCTCTTAACAAATAATAAGCCATAAGATAAGCGTTTTCTGTATTATGGCAAATACTTAATAAACAATTTTTTTAATTAATTTTTTTCTGTTTTTTACAGCGGCGCTTATTTTTGTGTCCGGAGGTCTGCACATAGCCTGGAGCATTGGCTTTGACACTATCTTTACCGAACTTGAAGTTACCAATCATTTGCGTATTTGCTGGTTTTTAGCCGCCATTTTCGGAGCCCTTTTGGGTGGATTCTTCAGTCAGAAATATTCATATAAATTGTTAATGGTGAGAACAAAGTAAATTTATAATATTTCTTTATATTCATACTATCTGCAAGTGAAGTGTGATTGTTTGTTTTTTTTTTGTTCCCTATTTCTGCAAATTTTAAACTATATTTTTAAATATATCTCTATAATACAATTATTCTACCTCTTCCAGGAATTCTGCTCCGTTCTCGTTCTGATCGGAGGAGCTGTGATGGCTGTAAACAAGTTAAACCCAAATGCCTTGCTGGCAGCACGATATCTGAATGGTTTTGCCAATGGACTGGCCATAGCTCCCACCCTGGCCATGGCTGGTGAGCTTTCCGTTTTCTACAAGAGAGGAACCATTACCTCGGCGGGAGAGCAGTGGCCGGTGACTATCGGGATCTTCGTGCAGATCGTATGCAGTGCCAGCTGGGACACGGAAAGTGACTTAACGGAGGAGCAGTTCCAGGGAGCAATAAGTGCAGTGTTGGGTGTCCTGGCCCTGGTCATGGCTACCCTGCTCTCCATCGAGTCGCCGGTGGATCTTCTGGAGCGGAACGACGAGCAGGGGGCCATCGAGGCGCTGAGCCGACTGCAAAGACCCCGGGCAGTGACAGCGGAGACATACGACCAGGTGAGCGACCATCGCACCTACCTGGCTCTACATCGATCCCTGAGCTGGCAAAAGGCCTGCCCTGCGTTCTTCCGGCTGGCGATAATGCGAGCCCTGTACGGGATGAGCTGCAGCATGCTGGTGGCCTACACGCTGACAGTGACAAGCACCATGGTCTACAGAGGCAACTCAGGACCGTATGTCCTCTTCGGCTTCCTGCGACTCGTGGGCAGCTTCAGCTGTGCCTTTGCCCTGGACTCATTGGGCAGGAAGATACCACTGCTCCTGGGTCTGGTAATCTCTGGTGGCCTATGCTTTGGCCTGGCCAGCAGGTTTGCCTACACCAAGGTCCTCCGTTTCGGGGACATGCGTATGGCCCTGTGGCTCCTGCTCATCTTCCAGCTGTTCGCGGGCATAGGATTCGCGCCCAGTTCGGCGTATCTCTCGGAGGCCTTTCCCCGCCGCTTCAAAAGGCAGTGCATAGCACTGGCCTATGTCCTGGAGATGATCGTCCAGGTGATCATCCTCCAAGTCGATCTCAGCGCCACAGTCGAGGGCAGTGATTGTGTCGAGATGTTCTTCTTCGCCATGGGAAGTCTCCTGCTGGCCAGCTTCCTGGGAAGCGTGTGGTTCATGCCGGAGACAAAGGACACTACGCTGGTGCAGGCACAGTTCCGGTTCCAGGAGTTTGTGATCCCGCCCGCCTAAAAGTAGGCCACTCAAGACTAACCAACCCCTGGATATAGCTAGGGAATAAATCGGAAATCTTTATAGGGAGCACTGCTGCGTGTTTGCCGTTGTCTTATCGCCGGAGAAGTGACTGTCGAGATTTGATTTTACTCTCTTTTGTGTCGATCAGCATGAGGCGCTGTTAGAATTTGGGGAACACCAGGGATATCTAGAGGTATATATACTATAGTAAAAGTTATATGGTCAAAGCCCAATCGAGTCGGTTTCCATACAACTACGATAAGATACTCCTTCGACCATAAATGTTTGATGGACTTTATATAGCTCGAAAGAAGGTATTTTAAAAGCTGGAACCATAAACTTATTAACTGGGCCATTAACTTATATTATTATTAATATTAGAAGTATTTTAAATTTTATATTTAGAACACAAAAGAAATAAAGACTTAATTAATGACTGAAAGCAGCAGGGAATATCAACAAGAAAACATTAAAATAACATATTTTTTATTATTAATATATTTATCTATAATTTAATCAAAATATTTTGAGTCTCAGGCAAGAACTGACAGCACTTTGCTGTTCAACTTTCACTCGTCACTAAACTTTATTATGAAAGTGGACAATTTGGCCCAGGCTATAAGTGCGTTCCACTTATACATGTGATCGCTTGCGTATATATATATTCAAATTTTAATTAATTTATTTATATCCACTAATCAGGCTGATAAGTGGCTGACAGAAAAAGGTTTCCTTATCTAATCTTGGCCCGCTGGCCGAGCCGCCGCTCACTCAATAACCGCCCGATGCTCGGCCATTTATCAAACGGCGTCGCGGCGGTCGGTTGGCGGTCCGGCAAGTGCGAAATTTATGGCCCGGAACGAGGAGTATCGGATCGGTGACAGAAAGTGCAAAAATAATGACAAACTCGAGTAGACAAACAACGACTGCGGTTCCAATGAAAAAGTGTCAAGTGTAAACAATCAACAAATCGAGCGGCCAAAATAATTAAAAGCGGAAACGGCATAACCAGCTCAATTGTTAAGACCAAAGAACTTAATTGTGATTAGGCCGCAAAATGCCCAACATGTTGCCAACGATCGAGGAGGAGGGCAAGTTGTCCTGGCTGCGTCTCATGTGGCGATATCGCCTGCAGTTTCAATCCATGGCCTCAGGTAAACACAAAATAATACTAAACAAATAAATAAATTCCTTATATATATCTTTTCCGATCAGCTTCCATAGTATTTGTGGGCTGTGGCATGCGCCTGGCCTGGTCCATCTTCGACACTCCCGCAGGAAAGTTCTTGAACAATAAGAATACCCATAATTTGATGATGAGTTGGTTCATTGGCGCCGCCTTGGGTGCAATTCTGGCAGCTCTCTTTGTCCAGCGGGTCACCAAGAATGTGGCTTATGTAAGTTATATTAATTATAAATATTATTAGCATATTCCCCCTTCGTTTAAGTATTATTTAATGTCAAAGTTAAGCTTTTTTGCATGTCATTGCCAGCGACAAAGATTAATTCATTTATTGTGTTATCCTGCCGTGATTTCCCCTCTGAAAAACTCCCACTCTGTTTAGCTCCAGCCACGAATTGATACTGCAGCCATTAGCACTTAGCCATTAGGGGACTTATCAATATAATAAACTGATAGGGCGATCGCGCTCAACCTGCATTGGCCATTAAGTGGCGATAGCCGCTAAGCGGTAAGCGAGGGCTGATCGATCGATATCTGAATGTTGGAGTGCAAAAATAATAATTAAAATATTACCTAAACTACCTTAGAATAACTCTTAAAGCAAATAAAATTGTTACAATGCTTTTAAATAAGAACAAATTGATAAGTTAATACCGATTAAGATGTCTTATAACAACATCCTCTTATTTTCAGACCTCTAGTGGCTTCCTGTTGATCATGGCTGGCATCCTGAATGTGGCTTTTCCGCAACACTTCCTGGCCGCCTGCTACAGTAGCGTGGGTGTAGGAGCAGCATATGGTCTCACCCAGATCCAGGCTCTCATTACAGGTTCGGAGGTGGCTCACAAATCCATTCGCGGCATGCTGGTCAGTTGCGAGCGGATCTTCCTGTGGCTCGGCGTCTGTGTCCAGGTTTTCTACACCCGAGTGTGGCACAACCTGGAGCCGCTGGAGTCGCAAGGATACGGCCTCCATGTGGACCAACTGCACGGCATAGCGATGGCAGGTCTGGGTTTGGGGGCTGTCATCCTGGCGCTGTCCCATCGCCTGGAATCGCCGCTGCTGCTGTTGCATCAGGAAAGGGAAATGGCGGTGAGTGAAACTCTAAAGGCTCTCCATGGACAATCCACCACGGAACTGGTGAGGCTGAGGGAGGACTGCCGGCAGCTGCACAGTGCCCGGGACTGGGAGCGCTTCGTGGAGGAGCCCGAGGAGTCGGAAGGAGGCTGGAGACAATGGGCCAGGCGTGTGCTGCCCTTCCTCAAGGTCCTGCTGCTGCGGTGCTTCGCCACTTTGGCCATATCCCTGAGCTACAATCGGGCCTTCCTGGTGGTCAGCTGGCATGGCCTGGAGTGCGACATGAACTGCCTGTACTGGCTGGCCTTCGCAGGACTCTTTGGCAGTGTAATCGGAGCCCTTGTCGTGGACTGGCAGGGTCGCAGGAAACTCTGCTCCCTGTCCCTCTTCATGGCTGGCATTGTGATCGTGATGGTGGGCGGGGTGTTTGAGCATTTGGAGTCCGTGAAGAAAACCTTCTACGACATCAACCTGCAGGCCATAGCCCTGCTGATGCTCCTCTTCGAGATCATTGTGGCCGGCGGTGTGGCAGTTCCCGCTCTGGTCTACACATCCGAGGCCTTTAGCATCGCCCACAAGGCGAGGTGCCTGGCCGGTGTCCTGATCCTGGAGCAGTTGCTCCAGCTGGCTCTCCTGCTGGCCACCTTCGAGCACTGCATCACCGTTTCGGTGTTCTTCTTCACGATCGGTGGCCTGAGCTTTGTGGTGGGGCTGATGGTGTTCATGCTTCTGCCGGAGACCAAGCAACTCACCCTCTACGAGTGCCTGCTCAAGTTCAAGAAGGTTCCTTAAGGCACCGTCGTATCGTATCTCCAAGTGCTAATATATGTGCTATCTGTGCCTATCTGTTATCTATTTTTATGTGCCGTATATTCCCATATGCATGTGACTGTTTAATCGTATCTATAGGTTACTGGAGTGCCTCCCTCGTCTTTCGTATGCTTCCCTCATAAGGTTAATCTTCACTTATATAAGAAAGAATTTGAACAGAAAAACTGTTTCAAAAACCATATATTTAAATAGGCTTATCCATTTTCCTATGGTTTTGATCAAGGAAGGAGGGTTAAGAACCTTAATTTTAATGCTGCATTTATTATAAATGATAGTTGTATGTATTTAAGTAAAAGAAAATATTTTTAAAACATCTATTACAATTTCCAAGCTTTAAATAAATATAGTATTCTTCAAAAGAATATTCAAAGGAGAAATTTGAAAATCTTAAGCCTTATTCTATTAGAAACTATAAAAAACAAGAAACTTCCTCATCATCATTGGATTTTCATTATCATTAACTTCCCAAATCTTGATCTTTATGTCACTTTAATTAAAAGATGAATAAATTTACTATTTAAAGTAAATTGTTGCTATTATACATATACATTTATTCTTGATACTTTTACTATACAGTAACAATCCCAAACATTTTTCTTACATTTTCCACAAAAGCTTTTACAATCAAGGTTTAAATACAATTCTTGGCCAAGTTAAAGCTTTTCCAATTCCCAAAGCTTTCCTACCATAATTTCTGCACAACTGTTACCAGTATTTTCCCTGCAGAGCTTTCCCTGGAAGTCAGTCCAAAAATAACCTGGGTAAACAAAGTGTTTTTTTGCGACTCTACTCCTTCCTTTGCCGGCTAGTGAAAGCTCCTCCCTGGCTCATTCATAAAGGCTCCTACAACTCTCGTCCTGGCGATTTACCCTTTCACGCATCCATAACACTTTTGTGAATTTTATGCGGATCTTGGAGCGGAGAGACGTGCGGGAAATCAGCTTGATTAATATGGCGTGTGATGAATATGCAGGATGAGAGAGGGAAAATCCGGGCAACTCCCCAGCTGGCCATCTAATGATGTGGAAAATTCGCACCGCTTCCCCGTTGCTATCAGATACCACTTATTTTTATGCAATTTTTGTGTCAGACACTCGGCTTAGACACTTGAGTGGTGGCTTTGCCCTATTCGCAGTCCCTTTGGTGACCAGGATGCATTTTGCATTTCGGTAGGTGAATGTGTGTCCCTGTCCGTGTGTGGCCAGGATGCTGCGGTTGCTTTGTTACTCAATTGAACCTGGCCGCAATTAGCAATTCTGGCCAACACTTGCCGGCCATTCAATAACATGCGGTCAACGGCCAGGCCAGCTGCGAACCCTGCCCCAAATGAATCGAGTTTAAAGTTATTTAATTTTTAATTGAGTTAATTAGTGGCAGAACAATTTCTTTGTTTATGCTGCAGAAACAGAACGGAAAAACAAAAAATTAAAAAAGAACCAAACAAAACAAACAACAGGACACTGGAAAAAATTTAAACAACTTATCAATTTTATTTCTCATATTATATTAATATATTTTCTTAAACACCATTTATCGAAAATATTATTATTATCATTATTAAATAAGAATACAAACAAGAAAATAGAATGCGATCTTAAAATCTTAAATGCAAAAATATAATTAATAAGGAAATGCTCAAATTTTAATAGAATGAGAAAGCCGAATTCTAAATCGGCTGAAACTTGGCCAAAAATGTATTTATTTCCATTCGGAAAGCGTTCCTGTGTTTGTTTTTGTCAGGTTAACAAATCTGCGTACTCAGTTTAAAATGTAAAAGTTTTGCGATTTTTGACAATTTTCATGATTGGCTAAAATGGTCAAAATTTTTGTTCTCATGTTTTTGCTACTAATCATTTGGGATTTTAATGGGGATTCAGAATATATATGACTTTCTGCAATCCTCAACGGTTTGGGCATTTTATGCTGCCAGGAACACACACGAATTTGCAATTTTTCATTGATATTTATATTTATAATTTTATTTGATATTTGTTTAACCAATTGAAGTTTACAGAACTCATAACTTGGCTAAAAATTGATTAATTTCAATTCGGAAAGCGTTGCGATGCTAGTTTTTATCAGGGTAACAAATCTGCATACTCATTTTAAAATGTAAAAAAATCAACATTTTTGACGATTTTTAAAAATTTTAACTAAAAATAAGTTCAAAAATTTGTCAAAAAATTTTTTTCAGCGAAACATTTCTAGATCGATTTGGCTGATCATGCTGATCAAAAATATATATGGTTTATAGGGTCGGAAATGACTTCTTCACTACATTTGCAAGCCCTGCAAGGGCTCTTTACAAGTTCACTAATATTTTTCTCTGTGCCGAAATTATTTCTATTTTGCCCGTTGGCTTGGTTATAATTCCCCTGGGCTTTTGCTGGCGGCATCCAAAATGCTGAAAACTTAAAGTTTCACCTAATTACAGAGTTCTCTGCGAAATTCAAGCCGTGGGGTTGGCAATGGATACCCCGGCAAGGGGAACCCGTAACTCCAATCCCATTTCAAGCGGGCTTAGATAGACTTTTTTTATCCTTACTGGACATTTCCGGAAACCTGATGCTCACATCTCTGAAAACTTGAAATAAAATTCTCTTTCCCTTAAACGAAGTGAGAGACTGTAGTGTACTTTTCAGCGCAAAGAGAATAGACTTGTCCTAAAATAAACGTAAACAAAAAGGAAATGCTTGGAAAAGCATAGAAAAAGATGGTGAGACAGGGAAAAACATTTGCTAAATTTTCGCCATGTGAGCTGGGAGACTTGTGTGTGTGTTTGTTGGGTCCCTTTGGTGGGAACTTAATATGTTGGTGACTGTGGCGCAGCCCTTGTTTCAATTAACTGAAATTGAAATCGACAATCGTAAACATTAACAGTAATGGGATTCCCCCGCTGGGCCACGCTCCAAGCGTGGGAGCAACAATGCAAATCGGTTGTGCTGCAGCTCGGAAAACACGTTGACGAGCAGAAGTCAAGCCAAAGGAAAAGCATTTTCCGCAGGCCAAGGAAAACAGGTTAAGAAAGCAGCAGCAGAAGCCACCGAGAGAGAGAGAGAGTGAGAGAGAGGAGCGCTGCTCGCCGGCATCGTAAATGAAAAAGCAAACAAACGTAAAATTTTATTTGTGCGCAATTTTCTATAAATTTTCATCGATTGCCATTGGGATATTGGCGACATTTGCGTTTGGCATTTTGCTGCGTCCTTCACACACACACACTCTGCCGCATTTATACCAAGGTACAAACACATATAAGAGGCTGCTGGGGAGGAGAGCTCCTTCGGCTGCCATAACTTGAGCTGCACTTGGAATTATGCTCTGCCGCCTCGCCTGAAATTGAAAAGTATACATATATATATAACCATATGGGTTACAAGTTTCCAATCAACATGCGACTGAAGTTGCCATAATGGCAAATAAATTATGTTCTCAAAAAGGAAACGGAAGCGGCAGCGGAAACGGAAACGGAAACGCGGTAAGCAGGCCATTTTAGCAATGGCATCAAATTAATGTCTCAGCATGCCGCAAAATGGCCGACGTGGCGCAATTTATGACGCCGAAAGACAACTCCCGAAGTGGCCAAGTGACTCCGCTCCCAGCTATCCCCCGCTCCGCGGCGGTGTGACAATAAAAGCGAGTCAAATGGCCATAAAAAGCGAGAAGGGACCGCAAATCCAAAGCCACAAAGAAATGTAAGTATATAAAAGCGAAATAATAAATAAGACCGTGAAGCGTGCCCATAAAGGGTTGCGATCATAAACAGACAAAGTCAAATCAATTGCTGTCAAAAGGAGAGAACTTACAAAAGTCAAGCTTTAAGCTGCAGCTTAGCCTGCGCCTGAGAACATCTCAGGACTCGATAAGTTAATTGGAAATTAAATCGAGCGACCGACACACAGGCGCAAATTCAATGGGAATCGCCTCCGATCTTCTGGAGGGGTTTTTGTTTCTGTGTCTGGCCTGTCAGAAAGTAAATTGACACGTTTTCATTTCATTTGTTGCTGCCTGCGAGTCCTGTTCACTCTCTCTCTCTCTCTCTCTCTCTCTCTCTCTATCGTCCTTCGAGTCCTGCGTTGGCAGTTGCCGAAAATAAACGCCACACAGCGAAACTTTTCCCTAACAAGCCTATAAACTTTTCCCTGCTCGCCTTCCTTCCTTTCCGGCTGTAACTTTTTCTTAAATTGAAAGGCCACTCCCTGCACCGAAAAGTTGATGAAAAATTAAAGAGTAGCAGCGCCCGATGCAGGCAGATCGACTGCCGCACAAAGCGCATTAAATTTAATTAGCTCACATAAATCTGCAGTTCGAGGATGCGGATTTAGGATTTCCCAGGGAGAGAATCACTCGAGTTGACATTTTTAATGCAGCCACGAGGGCAAAGTGGTGATGGTAGGGATTTTCCCTGGTCCTTTCCCCCATTTTCCTCGGCTTTCATGACTTATGCAACTTTTGACGACAGGTGCAGGCGAGTGAGTGTGTGTGACTTTGTGTTAAATCAACTGTCGCTTCCTCTCGGCAAAGTTTGTCCTGCAAGGACCCCTCGCCAGAGCCGAGCCAGTGGAATTCAAGTTATGATAGCTGCATGCGTTTCAACAATTTACTTAACAGCTAACTGCGCTGAAAATGTCACAGAAAGAAAGTAAATCGGTAAAAGCGTGAGAAAGTGCGGGAAATGGGGCAAGTAGTTCGGGCCAATTTGCTGGGGAATATTCATGGAAATGTTTTTTACTAGGGGAAGTACATAGAAAAGGGGTTGAGAAAGGTTGTAATAAAAGTTATTTATTACTAAAATTATTATTTATGGTGCTAATTAAGGAAATATTTACTATTATATTGCTTTAGAATGTTACTGAAGTAATTCTCGGGTATATAATATTCTAGGATATATCTTGTTGTTTTTCTTTTTTTTAACTTTCATATGTTCTGCTATTTTCCCATTCAATAATAAACCTTTATTCAAAAGTCTCCACAAAAAAGGGTATATCTAATAATGCAAACCCTCTCTGCATTCATTCACTTTCCATTATTTTCCTGTACAGACTGACAGAAATCAAAAGTATTTTCTTTATAAAAAGCCAATGCAATTTTCCACTATATACCATCATATATATATTTATTATTATACAGCATAAAAGCACTGTCCATTGGCAGTCTGAAAAATTGGGGGGAAAAAACTTCTGATGGAGTTTTAAGCTGAAGTTTCATTCAGCTCAGCTGAACTATCATACATATAAGCAAAAAATGCGGCGACAACAGTTTTTTCTTGCAATTTAATATTGAACTTTAAGCCTGTCCCCGGTATTGGTCTGCCACTGTGGCTAA